GCTGTGTTTACTCGCAGGCCAAATAAACGAAAACCTCGATAGACACTTTCATCGTTAATATTTGATTCCACGGCTTGCTTATTTGATACTTTTATTTTGTGACGTGTGAATCTTTCTCACAAGTAGAAGGTAACTGACATATCGTGATTAGAACTGATGTCAAGTTCCGAGTCCCAAAAGACAATTACGTGCGATCTGCCACACTAGCATAATCAATGTGGGTGTGCCATGACAGAGATGAAGTAATATCAATGAGACGAGAATCCTATCTACTGGGAATGTACACTCCCTTGGGCTACTAACTCAAAGTCGTTATTTTTCGACATTCATACTGGTTTGTTAGACCACGGTGTGAAAACCACCATTTAAATGAAACAGATTACATTCTCGCGTGGTGAATTTTTGGTTTTACTATTTCAAAAGAAATACTATTTTTTAATATATCAGCAACTGTGATATCCAGCGTTTCGTAGATTGAGCAGAGGTAATATCAAGCTATATTTTTACTAGGTCACGTGATTCCATTCTTATACATGGATTCTACTTGTATGAAGAATCAAATGTTCTAAGAATAGCTAAATAGTATGGGAATGTTTAACATTCGCCAGATTAAAACAGTCAGTAACTCGGCAAATCGAAATGTGTTACATTGGACTTTTATCCCAACTTCAAATATTACTGTATTTCACAACAAACTAATGCGCGATCCATGACGTGTCACACAATGCTTTACGCCAATGCTGCAGATTTCGGGTCTCCTTTTCACGCGGGTTCGCTTCTCGTGTCCCGTTTCAAGTTTTTATTGCTGTTGCAGTTGCACGTATGATGACGGGATCATTCTCGGTGTGAATACCTGGGATACCGGTAGTAATTTGAGAAGCAGTACTGATATTATTTCGAGCGCGTAGCTTCTCGAATTACCACATTTTATCTCCGGTATTCGCCGCTGTATAACCTCTATTCAATTTCATTTATTCGCGAACTGTAGTTCAAATGAAATTCCAACATCGTTTACTATATTATAGTGGCTTGGTTAATCACATGTGTTGAATATTTAATTTTTAATATTTATTTCAAATTAATTTAACTGTGCACTGAACTGAGAACCGCTTTCATTGCAGTCAACGGATCAGCCATGTATAACGTCAAAAGTAAGATAGATGGTCGTATCTGTTTAGGAGTAGTATCCTAATATAACACATTCCCTTTGACGGAACAGAACTCTACACATGTACAAGTACCACTCGGTAGTATAACGAAAGCAATTACTCTAGCCACAGACCCACAACAGGAGGAGGGACTGTGCTCTAGCCAGTGGCGGACCCAGCAAAATGTATTGGGGGTCCAAGCTTCGCTTAAGATATACGGAGCGTAAATCGCAGAGAAGCTATGCATAATCCAGATGATATGAATCATCATGCGTTTTGGGGGGAGGGGACATGCCCCCCCCCCTTTGGATCCGCCACTGGTTCTAGCCAACCCCTCGTGCCCTCCGCAAAAGATCGCTGATACAGCGCCCCCTGTCGATGTTATACGGAAAATGAAAGTGTTTCTATTTCTATAGTGACTGCTTCACAACTCAACAGGAGTGATTTAGTTCAGTGTCGTACTGCCCTGCACGAATGTGTGTGTTTCTGTGACAGAAAAATCAAATGCTTCACAGAATGAACGAAAGTAAGTTTTTAAAAGGTTGATGAGGGTATTCATCGCTGCTGGTAATATTTAAATAACAATAACATTAATGAGTGACTTTGACCTTGACCTTGACCGGGTCTACGAAATATATACTAGTACTAGTTTATTCAACGGTTTGGTCGCCATGTTCAACGTTGCCCCAATCAACACAATACACCTGAATTTGTTTGTACACAATATGAAATATCGTTAGCTTTCTAGGGATACGTAAGACAATAATAATGGTGGCAATGGAAGCAATTGTATATTATACGGCAGCCTTCCCTGCAATCCCAACGACGTTCGTATTGTACACCGACATAACTGTGTTAATCTCGCCGGCATTGGCGGTAACTCAATAACGCTGAGATAGTTGTCATTTGGTCGTTCACCCTTCAGTTTGTCGAATCTTTCTTTTATAGAAATATCTATATGGGATATTGAATTTACTATCAATTGCACGCATTTATTACATATGTTCACATGACATTGCTCGTTTGAGCCAAACAGACAATATTCCAGTGGTGTATTGCCCATAATGTCACGAGTATTTGAGTTAGCGCCGTAAGATATCAACATTTTCAGGCATTCGTATCTCCGTAACTCACAAGACACGTGTACCGCTGTTTTTAAATGACCTATACGTTCGACAACCCTTGTTATTAACGTAGAAATCGACATTGCTGCGATATGCTATTCCATGTACATTTTGAAATTTACTGCCTCTGTTATTATTGATAGTAGTTTTAGAATCCCATTTAGTCATATGAAATAGTATTGTTTCAAGCGCCAAGTGTCTATTCCACTTTACCGCTAGGATAAGATGAGAACAGCATCTCTCCTGCATGTGTAAGGCATCCATCTTATATTCACGTAGTAGGTAGTCCACGTAACTAACATGATTGTGTTCGATTGCCGAAGCCAGCGCGTCAGACGCCGTGAGTTCTTTTAAAACGCCTTCTTCCCATTCGAACGACACCTGTTTTCTTAGCTTCTCGATGCTCTCTGGCAATTTTCGCTTCTGGATAGCACTAATAAACGTTACATAAAGCGTCATTTCTTCTAGAATCCAGAAATATTCGATGGTATAATATGATTGTACACATACACCATAAATAATACATATGTAAATTCGCATTCAAATTATATGAGAATGGCAAACATTCGGGTTACACACTCGAGTTAGGGAGTTCCAAT